AAAACATGTTTCCTCTTGCTATAGCATATGTGGATAGTGAAGATAAAGCTTCATGGACTTGTTTCTTACAAGTATTGTTTGAAGACTTTGGCAGACCAGAGGAAACTAAATGGGTTTTCATGTCTGACAAACAAAAGGTAATAAAAAAGTACTTATTTGTTCAGTAAAACATGTGAATAACTTCTTTATGTATAATGTGTTTAATTGCTAGCTTCTTTCAGGGTTTAGTTGAGGCATTCAAGGCTGTGTCACTTGCAAATGAACATAGATACTGTGTGAAACACATGTACGAGAACTACAAGAAAATCTTTAGAGGGGCTGAATACAAAAAGAAGCTCTGGTTTGCAGCTAGCACTGGAAGTCTGAGGTCATGGGAGAGGCAGATGGAAGGAATAAAGAAGTTTGATGAGGGTGCTTACAACTGGATTATGCAGTATGACCCAAGTACTTGGAGCAGATCTCATTTTTCAACCCAAGCACAGTCTGATGCTTTGCAGAATAACATTTGTGAGTCATTCAATGCATACTTACTTAGAGCTAGAGATATGCCTATTTTGAGCATGTTTGAGTGAATTAGAAGAAGGTTGATGGCTAGATTTCATGTTAAGTACACTGCCATGACTAAGTATAAGGGTGATATTTGTCCTAATAAGCAAGATCTACTAGAAAAATTCAAATTTGAAAGTAGGAATTGTTTTTCTACTCCTGCTGGGGACAAGCTGTTTGAGGTTGATTTCTATGACACTAGCCATGTGGTTAATCTTAGAGACAAGACTTGTACATGTCGAAGGTGGGATTTGAATGGGATCCCTTGTAAGCATGGAGTGTCAGCTATATATGCCAATAGAGAGAAACCTGAAGACTATGTGAGTGCTTTTTATGCTAAATCCACCTATTTGGCTGTGTATAAACACATAATCCATCCTCTACCAAGTAAAGATGAGTGGGAGAGGACAGATACTCCAGATATTGAGCCCCCAATTCCTAGAAAACCTGCAGGAAGACCCAAGAAAAAAAAGATTAAACAACTAGATGAAACTAGGAATCCCTATAAAGTGTCTAAGGCAGGTAAGCAGGTCATATGTGGCAATTGTAAACAAGTGGGCCACAATGTTAGAGGATGTAAGACATCCATAACTGGAGAAACACTATGGCAAAGGAGAAAGAGGTTAGGAAAACAAAAATCTGCCCAAACAACCCTAGGTGGTGATGATCACACAGCTGACCCAACCTCTCATGACCCAGAGCAGACTGGCAATAATGAAACTCTTCATATGTCAACTCCCATTGCCCATGATCCACTTTCCCAAAGGGGTGAAGGAAGAACAAAGAAGAAAAGAAGAATAAGCAGTTCACAACCACCCCACCCAGCAGCCAGAAGAGTGACTAGGTCCTCAAGTTCACAACCCTCAATGGTAGTATTTTGCTCTTCATTTTTTTACTGTAACCTAATCTTTAGTGTGTTGTCTTTACACTTACTGTGATGTTATTACTTATCTCAGGATCCAGAGCATTAAGGATGGACTGATGGGAAAGAAGTCTAGGGAGATGAAGCTGGGTTTTGAGCATGTGTTATGTTTTAATGGAGTCTAGGGAGATGAAGCTGGGTAGTTCAGAAGATATGCTATGTTTTCAGTTCACTTTTATGTACTTGTCAATCATGCCTTTTATGAGCATGTGTTTTGTAATGAAACTTATGTAAGAAACACCTTTGCCATGTGTTTTGTTATGAACTTGTTGTATGACATTGGCATCTAAGTTCTTTTGGGTATATTATGAAGTAAGTTCACATTATGTTATGAAGTTCTAAAATGACACTGCCATGTAATTTGTGTTGGGTGAAATGTATGTTTATTTTGTCCATTTCTCTCTCTTTTGGATAAGTAAACAGATTGGGTCAGTTTGTCCATTTTATTTCCAGGTTCTTGGATCTTTTGGGTATACATATGGTGCATTGGTGCAACCAATTGTTCTGGTTTTGGTTTTGGTTTATCCATATGGATTGTGTGATACTTATTGTTCTAGTTTTGTGTATATATATGCTTTTAATGGATGCTGTCAAACCAAATGTTGTTTTGTATAGGTTATTGTTCAAACCTTTATCAATCATTTGGGTATATATATGCTCTTAATGGATGTTATCAAACCAAGTGTTATGTTTTACACGTTTCTTTTGTAACACCAAATGGTCTGTATTTGTGAATGAATCCTTGTGAAACCAAACGTTTTAGGGATGTTTTATTAAGCTCTGTTTTTCAGTATATGTGGATAACAAACTTCATAGTTCATACATTAAAGAAATTCACACAAAGTTCATATATTCCCTCTATTCTTCGTTGTTGTTGCAGTCCAAATCGGTGCTTGTACTCCACAATCGCACCTCTTCAGTTGTTGTCTTACATCCATGACAGATGAGCTTGAATTTGAAGAACTCATCTTTCTTCTTCGTCACACCCTAAGCGCCTGTGGAATTCCTTAACAATCGGACTGTTGTTATAGGGTTTCAGATTGGGATTGGCATTCCTTAATAACACGGATAATGACATGGTGCTTCAAGATTGGGATTGCAAGCCACGTAAGCACACTTGTGGCAAATAATGTTCCACTTCATATTATTTAAACGGAGTCAAGACGGGGACCCCGCGGGTGGTAACGGTAGCAAAACACGAGGCTGGGTTTGTTACAAAGATCATCACAGACCCCTAAGTGAAAACGCCCACAAGCACAGGTATTTATTCCGTACTTTTCCCTAAAATATTAATGTCATATGAAAGATTATAAAAAACTATGTCGTACCCCGTATAAGTTTTAATACTCCTTCGTATGAAAATGAAATAATGTATTTCGCTACATAATCTATTTTTCCTTGTCTTAGGTTTTAAAAAAAAAAATAGTCTTGGTTAACTAGGGGTGACCCTAATACTTTGACTCAAAATGTCAAATGCCAAAACCTCAAGGGAGGTATTTGAAAATAACCCCCAAATAAAGGGCAAAAGCAACACAATGAAAAAAGTAACCATCCGAGTAAAAATGCTTGATACACATCCTCCTACAATTATTATCCCCTTCTCATCTAAAATTTCATTTTTAAAAGTTCAAATATTTTCTTTCATCTCAAATAAACTTTACACTTTTTTTGGACATCTTCAAAATAAATTCACACTTTATTTTTGATAGATTTTTAATATAAAGATACCCTGATAACTTACTCTTTTAATAAATTCACACTTAATCTACTTTTCAAAAAGTATGTGAATCAAATTCAAAAAATCTCATTTCTTAAAAATCGAAAAATCGAAGTGTGAAATTTATGGAAGTGTGAATTCATTTAAAGAAGATACTGCAGTTATGTAAAAAATGGCATTTGAAGAGTTATTAATAACACTGTATTGGAATGTATGGGGGTAGAGCGTAGATTCATAGAAGTTAAGAGCATCCGCAATGGGGGTATCAATTGCTAAAAAATGAATTGCCACGTCACGTTGCGCTCAAATTGTCCTCCGCAATGGGAAAGTGTATTTTGACTATCGTGCTGAGCTGGATTGGAAAATAGGGGACACTGTCGATCCGGCTTTCTAGTTTCAGCAAGGGCTTCTCATTGCCAACTCAGCAAAAAGAAATCGAAAATAATTATACGGAAAACATTTACGAAATACAGAGTATCAATCCCAAGTACTTCATTTGACCAACAAACACGGCAGCGCTTCCCTTCCGGCAACGCAGTCACCGAGTCACGTAGCACTCCACTGCCGTAGTAAATGGGACAATCATCTCGCCGTCTGAAAGCTTCTCGTGATATGGCGGCACTCCTCGTCTAGGCGGTAGCGTGAGCATCCCCTTTTTCTCTCCGGTTATCTTCTTCTCCAGCTCGTTTTTTTTACTGGCAACGAGAAAAAGGCGCATTGATTATACGGAGTATTAATTAATGAAGAAAACATAGGTGTGCTTAAGATCACATCCATGGTGTTGGTCTTGCTGTAAACGTCCAAGATGTCTTTTTTTGCAGCAGGCCGGACTGCCGGAGTAACCCTGCGCCCCTATCCAGTCGGCCACTTCTTTGCCAATCATCCTGGATCTGCTTTTGTCCATATATATTTATGTGAGTTGATTGAGCAGTTTTGTTGAGTGTTGTTGTACTGCTTTTGTCATAGGTGAGGTGAGTATATTATGTATATATATTGCGTATTACGTATGTGAAAATTGATATTGCTTTGCATAGAGAATAGAAGAAAGATCAAGCCGTTGGAGATAAAATTTGATAGCTACTGTCCATGCTTCCACATCAGCTTCACGGGCTATTGATATACAACACGTGTCCATTTTTTGTATGGTGCAATCCACACATTTCTATTGGAGATGCTCTAAGCATGAGGAATTCTAACAAAAGCTATTTCCTTTAATGTCCTTAGGCTATGTTTGCGTTTGCTTCTACTTCGTTTTAATGCTTCCGGACAAAAGGATATCGGCGGAGACCAGAAAGGCAACCCGACCAAGCAGCCTTCATTTTTTCTTTTCTTTCTAACATTTGCGTTATTGCGTACAATTCCGGCAAGTTTGTGAAGCTATGCGGGTAATGAAGAATCTCTGAAGCCGAACATAAAGAAATCTCTAGATCTTCAATTTTGAGTGTGAAACGGTGGCTTCCTAGTCACTTACCGGCTGCGCAATTTGGAGAAGACGTGTAGGATTACAATTTCAGGGTGTGGCCAAAAGCTTCATTCATGGATGGGGAGTTACTGATGCGTCAATGATATATTTGAGGAGGGGAAGGACATTAAAGGGACACAAACACTTTTAGGAATATATTGTACCCCAAGTTCAAGTTAATTACTAAATTGCCAAGAAGCCAAAACAAAAGCAAGTCTAGGCTGCTTCCAGCTTTTTGTCTAAAAGTGATTATTTTTAAGTGGAAGCTGTGTTTTGCAAACACATGTTTCAGCTGAATATAAGTGATTTATTTTGGTAAATCACAAATAAAGATCGTAAAAAATGTAATCTGCTGGCAACCGAATCTTAGTCTACTAATTCAAAATGCAAATAACTGAATATGATTTAACCCTGCATAATCTTAGTCAGACACGAATATAACCATGCCAAGTTAACGAATTGCAAAGAACGGATTATAACGAAATAGATTAAGACTGATAGCAAAAAGATTGTCTCCTTAATGTATATGGGTAGAAAAAACGGACAGATCGTTGAAGACATACATCCTCAAGAGAGGAAGCGCAGCGTTCTTAATTATGAAAGGAATGCAAAAAAAATACAAAAGGAAATGATAATACGAAGTCCAAACGTGAACAAAATAAAATATGCAGGTCATAGAAAGAACCAAATGGCTTAGTCGACCTCTTCAATCTTAGGACCAGCACCACTGCCACCGGCCGGAGTAGGACCAGCAGCATCCTCATCCATGTCTGGGGCAACACCACCCTGATACATCTTGGCAATTATGGGATTGCATACTCCCTCCAACTCCTTCATCTTATCTTCAAACTCATCAGCTTCTGCTAGCTGATTGCTATCCAACCACGAGATTGCCTGATCAATGGCATCCTCAATCTTCTTCTTGTCATCAGCACTCAACTTGGATCCAATCTTCTCATCCTTCACTGTGTTCCTCATGTTATAGGCATAATTCTCCAACGCATTCTTGGCCTCCACTTTCTTCTTATGCTCCTCATCCTCAGCCTTGTACTTCTCTGCTTCCTGCACCATCTTTTCAATCTCATCCTTGGACAGCCTGCCCTTGTCATTAGTGATTGTGATTTTGTTCTTCTGTCCAGTTGTCTTGTCCTCAGCAGAGACGTTCAAAATGCCATTGGCATCAATGTCAAAGCAAACGGTGATCTGGGGGACACCCCTAGGGGCAGGAGGGATACCAGAGAGCTCGAATTTACCCAACAAGTTGTTATCCCTTGTTCTTGCTCTCTCACCTTCGTACACCTGGATGAGCACACCTGGTTGGTTGTCAGAGTATGTGGAGAAAACTTGTTCCTTTTTAGTGGGAATAGTTGTATTCCTTGGAATGAGCACAGTCATGACACCTCCTGCAGTTTCCAATCCGAGAGACAGGGGGGTGACATCCAGAAGGAGTAAATCTTGAACCTTTTCATTTCCCTCGCCGCTCAAGATGGCAGCCTGGACAGCAGCACCATAAGCAACGGCCTCATCAGGGTTGATACTCTTGCAGAGCTCTTTTCCATTAAAGAAGTCCTGAAGCAATTGTTGGACCTTCGGAATCCTAGTAGACCCACCAACAAGAACAACATCATGGATGGTGCTCTTATCCATCTTGGCGTCCCTCAAACATTTCTCAACAGGCTCCATACACTTCCTGAACAGATCCATGTTCAGCTCTTCAAATCTTGCACGGGTAATGGTCGAGTAGAAATCAATACCCTCAAACAGTGAATCAATCTCAATGGTTGTTTGGGCTGTGGAAGAGAGGGTTCTCTTTGCCCTTTCACAGGACGTCCTCAATCTCCTCAATGCTCTTGGGTTTCCAGTGATATCCTTCTTATGCTTTCTCTTGAATTCTTGGACAAAGTGGTTCACCATTCTGTTGTCAAAGTCTTCACCTCCGAGATGGGTGTCACCGGCAGTGGCTTTTACTTCGAAGATTCCTTCCTCAATTGTGAGGAGGGAGACATCAAAGGTACCACCACCAAGATCAAAGATCAACACATTCTTCTCTCCAACACTTGTGGCCTTCTTGTCTAGTCCATAAGCAATAGCTGCTGCTGTTGGTTCGTTAATGATACGCATGACATTTAGACCAGAAATGACACCAGCATCTTTTGTGGCTTGACGCTGAGAGTCATTAAAGTAAGCAGGTACAGTGACAACTGCATTCTTTACTGTTGATCCAAGAAATGCCTCTGCTATCTCCTTCATCTTGATGAGAACCATGGAAGAAATTTCTTCAGCTGAAAATTGTTTTTCCTCGCCCTTGTAGCTGACAACAATCATTGGCTTATCACCAGCACCAGGAACAACCTTAAAAGGCCACAATTTGATATCGCTCTGTACTGAGGCATCTGAGAATCTTCTACCAATGAGACGCTTTGCATCTACAAGTCATGAAAAATAAGCGTCAACTAATTAAGTCAATCCATTGATGTATTCTACCTTAATGAAAAGCACGAACAACATTAGCAATTTGAAATTTGGCTTCAGATCAAATCAAATAGAAAATACCATTATCAAAATCATTATTAGACCCAATAATGATGGTTAAGCACATAAGCATTAGACCTGGACATTACTCATGTTTAAAATTAGGGTCTTGAAAAATATCACAATGCAGTAGTGTTCTGTCTATATAAAAATTCCACTTTAAATGTAATGACCTCATCCTAAGAGAGATGTACTTATAACCTATGCCGACCAATTGTTTTATACTTCTAAATACAACAGCTACTATGGTTCTAAATTTCAAAATCATCTCAGCTACAGGACATCAGAACATACTGAAAACCCTATCATTTACATCAGATTGAATCGATTAAAGTGATTAATACACATATCACACAATATGTTATCATAAAAAAAAAGACAGGAAGTTATTGCACACAGCTTGTAGCTCAACAATAGATAACCAGATCTAATAAAAACAAAGACAGATCTGCTTCCTCAACAAAACCAGTAAAGAATATACAACTTTGTCGGACATTCATTTACAGAATGAAACACAATATTGAAATCTAAGAGACGAAGAAAAAAACATGGACTTGGAAGTAGACATACCGAAAACTGTGTTGATGGGATTCATGGCGACTTGATTCTTGGCAGCATCACCAATGAGACGCTCAGAGTCAGTGAACGCCACATACGACGGCGTCGTACGGTTACCCTGGTCGTTGGCGATGATCTCAACACGATCATGTTGCCAGACACCGACACACGAGTACGTAGTGCCGAGATCTATACCGATTGCGGGACCTTCACCTTTCCCTGCCATTGTAGTTCAGGAGACTAGTATTTCGAATAGATCGATTTGAATATAGAGAGGAGGCTGAAACGAAATCAAGGCGAGCAAATGTATGCATTAGGGTATGGAAAGAGTTGTATTTATACACGAGGAACTGTTTCTAGCGGGTTCTGGAATGTTCGTTGAAGTCGGACTTTTCAAAATTCCTTACTTCAAGGGTAATTAGGTAATTAGGTATTGCAGATTGGTGGTTTTATTTTTGAAAGATTGCAAATCTGTTGTTATGAACAAAAAATTGTTGTTTTGGTCCTTTTTAATTAGGAAAAATTATGATTATCAAGTTTGATTATAATTATTAGTTCAATCTTGTATTTTTAAAAGTCAATTATTTGCCCCCAAGCTTCGATTACTGTTGACATTTACGTATAAACCAATGGTTCAATAAGAAGTATCGTCAAATGGTCATTGTGTTGACTAAAATACCCTTATTCAGTGATTATTTGTTATATATATTCACTCATCTATGTGTTCTTTCTTCAAATACAAGGATGAATTAAGTTTTAAGATTTAGATAACTTCTTTCATCGCTTGATCTCTTTGAAAATGTCGCTTCCTTTTCTTTCACTAAATATAAAGAAACTTCAATTCTTTGTTCCCTTATATTGAAGTTTTATGGATTTTCAAGCAACACAAAATGAAGATGATATATGTGTGGATTCACATAATGCAAAGTTCTTGCACATGCCTATAGAGAATCTTAATGTTACATCTGACTGGATATAAGGTACTCCATTTTTTCTTCATTCATGTAAGCGTAGAAGTGAACGTACAAGAAGAGGTAATGATGTGAGTATGGTCAGGAATGAGAATAACAATGAATGTGATGATGATAACTATCCATTTAGCAATAGGGATGATTCTGATTGGACGTGTATTAGTAACGAAGCCTCAAATGACTGTACAACTTATGATGAATAGGATGAAGCTGAACTTGAACTCACATATAATGAGGATCAGCATGTATGTTATGTTTTTCCCTTGCTCCCTAGTAAATTTGTGTAGACCATTTTCAAACGTAGTTAATGTACCATTCTGATGAGGAATTTAGATCATGTTCCAATGAGGCATTTCCCTTGTGCTCTATGAGTCATTTTCCTCGAACTCTGTGAGGCATTCTACACAAGTTTCATTTATCAACAAATACCAAGAAACACAATACAATGCATAAAGCTTAAATGGTATTTCAGATCCAGTTCTTATACTTGGAAGAAACAAAATATCAAGTTCATTTATGTATTTATCAGGATGCAGAGTATTAAAAGTATACTTTAATTTATTGTGGAGTTGTATACTTGTATAATGTATTTTCAAAGTTTTAAAACTGCAACTCCAAACAAAAATACTTATGCCATTTATATTAAATCAAATTAGGCATATAAAAATCTCCTCCTTTGAGAAAGTATCTTGCCCAAAACCAATGCCAATTTGGTAAACTATACATTGCATCTACATAGATAATCAAAATGGCTAAACCACTCCCTCTGTGAACCAAGGTTCTTCAATTTTCTTTTGATGCAGGAATGAGTATGGGAAGTTGGAACAAAAAAAGAAGAATAAATGCATAGAAGAATAAGCGTGCAACAACCATGTCTAGGAAACAAAACCCTCAACTCATTGTTCGAATATTGTTTGGAATAAACTAAGAACTCTTGTTTTATACTTCGTAGTTTAGTTTAATCGAGGACATTTTCTCAAATTCCTCTAACAAATAACAATCAAATAACTTAAGTTTAACGGAAGGGGGAGATTCCATCTATATTGAAAGCCTAGGGGGTTAATAATCCACTTCTAAAAATACAAGGTTGATTTTATAATTATGCCTACATTAGACTAGTATCTCTTGCTATGTTCTACTTTGTTTATTGTAATGTGCTCCTATATTAGTGATAAAGTACTCAAGAAAAACAAAGAGTATAAAAAAGAGAAGAAACATATCATAAAACAAAAAGGAAAGAATAAAAAAAAAGGTACGAAAAAAGTCAACTGAAAACCTTTGTGATTTGGCAGTCATCTGAAAAACAAGAATCAGCAGCCTGCTGATAACAATACAGTCGGCTCCCAATCTTGTTTTTCAGCTGACTTAACCAAACAATCCACTATTGTTCTCTTAGCACAAAAACAATTAAACAAAAAACCAACTTGCAGTCCAAATGACAAAAAGATTAAAGTAATTTTTGTAAGAATTTTTTACCGCCTTATGAAAATTTCTTAGAAAGTTATTTTACTAAAAGCAAGTATTCTTATTTGTAAGGAAGCATTGAACAACACTCAGCTTTTATACTAAATTTCTACGCATAAAAGAAATAAAGATAAATCATCTTTATCTCTGCATTGAAATGAGGAAACATGTTGAGTGAAGATATTGATCCGTGTCACAAGAAGACAAAGATCAACCATGCTCTCCTCAGTCAAGTGGAACAAAGCAAGTAGATCAAGCAACGATCAAGATTGAACTGCTCAGCCAACAGTGGAGATTCAACAACAATACTATAAATATAGGAGGAGTGTGGGAAGACCAAGTGTCAAAAACCGATAGGAGCCAAGTGGAATTTAAGGGAATCAAGTTTTACAAGCTCACATCCAGCCAACTGATTTTTTCCTTCACCACTTCAGCTACCACCCCACTCATCTAATGCTCTTACAATAACTATAATAATTCATACAAACCTGTAGAGTTTAGATTAGTTAGTAATTTAGCTTTACACCCATGCAAACTAGACTAGTGTTACGTTAAACACTCTGGAGGGCTTTGTATTCACATCCAGAATGTTAGAAGGGCAAGGACATGAGTAGCTCTTGGCAAGTTAATGTCATTAATGAAAAATCTTGGGAGGACTGAGTAGATTGGAATGGTGTTCAAATTCCTTGTGAAAAACCTCACAATCTACGCCTGTGCCAAGGGCAGATTGGGCACTAAATGTAATGGGATATTCATTTAGTGGAAATTCATCTGAAATAGGGTGGGACTGGATGTAGGAGGATTACACCACCTCTGAACCAGGATACATCTTGTGTCACCTTTTACATTCTGCTCCTAACATACACTTCAGTTCTCACTCACCTTCACAACTTCACAGCAAAACAGCTTGCTCACTAAAACTATCCAGTGAACCTTCCAGTTCACTGTGAATCAACTCCTTGTTTCTATTCATCAAAGTAATCTATTTCTATAAGTTTATATGCTTTATACTTATGTGTTAAGATTTGGTCTAAAGCCTATCAATGAGTTAGAATATAGTTGAAGCTATAACTTATCCTTTGAAGAAAAACAACTTATTTCAGCAGTCTGCTCCTAAAGAATTTGGCAGTCAGCTCCCAACATTCTGGCAGCCAACTCCTTTAGATTCAGCAACCTGCTCCTTAAGTCAGCTGAATCTGGAAAACACATTTGAACGTTGTTTCATCCATCTCCTCACAACTAAAAGGGCCATAACATTTGTTTCTATAAACTGTCACACTCTTGAGGTCAAGACTTCCGCTGTATGTTTCAATATCTCTCAAAAGATATTGGAACTTATTTTGTTAGAGGAAAAAGTTGAAAAATGAAAAGATTTAAAAGTCTATTCACCCCACCTTTAAACTTTTGACCTCACTTGGGACCCATCAGATAGAGTTGTTGAAACGGAAACAAAAACATTCACGAAAATGTGTTGAATATGAGTCTATGAAATTCCCTCACAATGAAGCGATGCTTGTCCTCAAACATGACTAATTGACTACTCGTAGGTAATCGAGCTAGTCAAATAAGTGTTCGTCAAATTTACTACGTACATTTCTTTTCAAAACTAATAGTTTTTTATTAGCCTTAACTTTGAACTCAATTTAACTAAGACCTTCGAATTAGGTTCAAGATCTTGCAACGGGCTATTATAGCGTAAATATGAAGGTAATATGTTTGTGTGATTTATCCAGTTCAATTTACTGAGAAGAATATTTTAGAAAATAATAATGTAGTTTAATTATACATCTTTTTTATATACACTAGTCTACCTAGTCATATATCCAATTTAATAATATACTATCGTACTATAGTGATGCAATGTTCGTATCCACATAGAAATGTATATTTTTATTTCTCTTTAATGAAATTATAACCAAAAGGGGTTGTTTAAAGATTGACTAGAAATTATATTGCTAACTAGTGAAAAAACTCTCTCTCTAGGATTGCCGCAAGGCGATCTTTAGCCTCAGTGTGTCCGTTGTCGGCTTAGCTGAGGAGCGGGGTTTGGTTTCGGCCGGCCAATTTGTTATTATTGATCAGTCTGGAGGGTGGACAAAGGTGGTCGGTCAGGAGGTTACGGAGATCATCATGGGTAAGATCCGTCGAGGAAGATTTGAGTAGCGGCATTCGGCGGGTTTAACAAAGCAACGAAGCGGACGGATTGGTCTGTGCAGTAGCGTTTCCGGAGTTTTTAGTCGGCTTGGTAAGGCATAGAGATTTATGGAGAATATTGTTGATCAATACAAAAAGATGGTAATTGGTGCGGAAGAAGAAGAAGAAGAACTAGCGAGCAATGGGAAGGTGACCGTTCCAGTGATTGGCATGATAGGTTCTCAGATGAATTTTCTGGAGGTTGAATATCTCTTCTACCATACTATATCAGCGCGCCCTCCTCCGGAACCACCTCCCTGTGAGGAAGTAATTTGGGGAACGTTTTTATTTCCGTATTGTTTTTCCTTTCGCAGTACTTATTTTTATTTCAGTTCGAGCGGGTATGGTCGGAGTTTTTGATTTTTGATGAACTCTTGATAGGCAGTGTTTCTTTTTCGGTTGTTTTAGTCTTCCTTTTGCCCGTTTTGTGTCTAGCGAGTCAGATTGCTTTGTATGGGTGGCTGACTCTAAGTCTATTCCTAGAGTTTACTATCGGATCTGTAATATCTGTCTGGATTTGGTGTGGCGTGTTTGCTCTAGTAAAAAATAGATTGTTTGACTAAAAGGGTTGAATTACCCGGGGCTTCTTAACCCTCCATGGCTCCATCATTTTCTCTATACGCAAATTTGTTCTGCATCCATTGATTTCTGAATTTCGTGCCATCAATTCTGTTACGGATCTCTCCAAATCTATGGTTCAATTCAATCACCGCTTGTTTAA